TGTAATCCCAGTGACTCAGAAAGCTGAGGCAGGAGGATCACCTGAGCCCAGGAGTTTGAGGTTGCATTGAGTTATGATGGCACCACTGCACACCAGCCTGGACAACACAGCAAGACCCTGTCTAGTAAGTTAGTCAATAAGTAAATAAATTAAAATACAGGACAGGGCACCATGGCATGTACCTGTAATCACAGCTACTTGGGAAGCTAAGGTGGGAGGATTCCTTGAGCCCAGGAGTTTGAGACCAGCTGAGCAACTTAGTGAGACCCTATCTCAAAAAATAATAAAAGTTTTAAAAATGAGAAAAAGAAAAGAAAAATATTGAATTCAATAAAAGTTGATTTAAAAAAAAATAAAGCACTGTACTCCAACCTGGGAAACAGAGTGAGACCCTGTCTCTAAAAAAGAAAAAAAAAAAGAAAAACTTAGCCAGGCATGGTGGCTCACACCTCTAATCCTAGCACTGCGGGAGGACAAGGTAGGAGGACTGTTTGGGAGAATCACCTGAGGCCAGGAGTTTGAGGTTGCAGTGAGCTATCATAATGCCACTGCACTCCAGCCCAGGCAACAGAGTGAGACCCTGTTCAAAAAAAGAAAGGAGGAAGAAAATACACAGGACAAAGGAACATGTTTAAACATATCAAAAAGATGCCTCCAGGGACTGTACTAGCGATGGACACTTTGGATCGAGTTGTGTGTTGCGACTCAAAGAAGACTAAGACTAGTTTACTGTAATTGGGGGCCATACAGCTAATAGAACACAAAGTTCAAAACTAAAAGAGCCAAGAGATTCCTTGAGAACAGAGAACCAAAACTCAGTGAAAATATTAAAAATGCCATGCTGATTAAAGGAGGAAATGCAAATACAACAGTGACACAAGTACTTAAGAGATGTGTATGCCCTGAAGAAACCATATGGCATTCTATATAAAAAGAAAAATATTACAAGACCATTTGAGGATCAGACATCACTGGAATTCTTTTCAAAAGTCAGATTGTTCCTTGTTCCTGTTTGGTTCCCATAATAAGAAGCGGTCAAATAATCTAGTAATAGAACAGTAAATGTCTGGAGGGAACGAAACCCATGTTAATATTTGCTGGTGATGATTTTGATGTAACGGAAGACTATAGAAGACTAAAAGTCTTCTTATTGATTTTTTCAGAGGACCCACAGTACCGAATATCTGCCTGGCTGGATTAGAGTATGTTCTGCACTTCACTGCACTGAGTGGGAAGATTTACTTTCAAAGCTATAAGTTGCTGTTGAAGAAATGTGGTTGCAGAACACCATAGATTGAATTGGAAGAGATGGGACCCTCACTGGATCTAGTTCTGAGGAGGACACACCTGGCATCAGATGACCTTTATAAATTAGCTATAAAAATGCCAAAAGCTCTCAAGCCAAAGAAGAAGAAAAATATCTCCCATGATACTTTTGGTACAACTTATGGAAGGATTCATACGCAGAAGCAAGACCTGAGCAAACTACAAACCAGGAAAATGAAGGGATTGAAGAAGCGACCTGCAGAAAGGATAACAGAAAACCAGTGAAAAAAAAGCAAAGAGAATTAAAAAAAAATGATGGCGCTTAGCCAACAAAAAAAAAAAGGAAAGAAAGAAAGAAAAAAAAAAGATGCCTCCAACAAGATGGAGAATATGGAAAATTCTACAGAGTAAGTGACCTGGTTTCTTAAACAAATAAATAGCGAGAAAAAAAAGAGGAATGGGAGACCTATAGATTAAAAGGCACTCAAGACACAGCATGGTGACTCACACCTGTAATCCTAGCACTCTGGGAGGCTGAGGTGGGAGGATTGCTTGAGCTCAAGAGTTGGAGACCAGCCTGAACAAGAGTGAGACCCTGTCTCTACTAAAAATAGAAAAATGTTTGGCCGGGCACTGTGGCTCACACCTGTAATCCTAGCACTCTGGGAGGCCGAGGCGGGTAGATTGCTCGAGGTCAGGAGTTCAAAACCAGCCTGAGCAAGAGCGAGACCCTGTCTCTACTATAAATAGAAAGAAATTAATTGGCCAACTAATATATATAGAAAAAATTAGCCAGGCATGGTGGCACATGCCTGTAGTCCCAGCTACTTGGGAGGCTGAGGCAGAAGGATTGCTTGAGCCTAGAAGTTTGAGGTTGCTGTAAGGTAGGCTAATACCACGGCACTCACTCTAGCCTGGGAAACAAAGCAAGACTCTGTCTCAAAAAAAAAAAAAGACAGACAGAAAGACAGACAGACAGAAAGAAAGACAGACAGACAGACAGACAGACAGACAGACAGACAGACAGAAAGAAAGAAAGAAAGAAAGAAAGAAAGAAAGAAAGAAAGAAAGAAAGAAAGAAAGACAGAAAAAATGTTTAGGCACTATGGTGCACGCCTGTAGTCCCAGCTACTGGGGAGGCTGACATAGGAGGATCGCTTGATCCCAGGAGTTTGAGGTTGCAATGAACAATGATGTACTTTAGCCACTGTACTCTAACCCAGTAGACAGAGTGAGACCCTGTCTCAATCAATCAACCAATCAATAGGACTCAAGAATTTTATGTGCAGATCGTATTTGGAATCCTCACTCAAACCAACTGGTAAAGAAGAGATGTTTAAGACAGTCATGAAAATTAAACAGACTAGATATTTGATATTAATAAATACTACCACTTAGCTGTAATAATGATATTTTGATAACATTTTTAAAAGAGAGAGACCTTAACTTTTAGTGAAACATACTGAAATATTCACAAGTGAAATAATGTGGTGTCTGGGATCTGCTTTAAAACAAACCAACGGTTAGTGAGAATCTCATGAAAGGGATGGGTATGAAAAGAAGAAAATATGTAAAAGAAAATTAAATTTATTTTAAAAATTCTTTAAAACAAAAAAACCAATGGAGGAAGAAGTTGAAACAAGAATTATTAAAACAAGATTGGCCATATATTGACATTTATACAAGCTAGATTATAGAAATTCATTTCACTATCTTCTTTATTTTTTATATATGTTTGAAATTTTCTATAATAAAAGTTTTCTAAATAATAAAAATGTGTTTACAACACTGAAATGGCTCTCCATTGCCCTGGGATAAAAGTTCAATTCCTTAACATGGCTTACCAAGAAAGCCTTTCAGTATCTGTCCCCCTGGCTTAGCTATCCAGGTCATCTCTCACTATTATATACCTCACAGGCCAAGCTGCAGGACTGATAAGCTCCTTACTCTTATCTCCTCCAAAAACATCTATTCCCTTTGTCTAAAGGACTATTTCCTCTCTGCTCATATGGCTAACCTCTACTCATCACTCAGGTCACAGCAAACTCCTTCTAGGAAAACTTCCCTAACACTCCAAGACTTAGTGAAGTAGCCCACCTATGTACTCCCCAAACACACTGTGCTTCCCCATCACAGGCCTTACTTGCTATGTCCTCCAGCAGGCTATCGATACCACGAAAGCATGAATGATTTCCATCTTATTTGCCATTTTAACCCTACTTCCTAGCAAAGTGCCTACACACAGTCAGTACTCTAAAAACATTTGATAAATTAACAAAAGGTAGAAATTCCACTAACTTTCTAATTTTTCAACTACTCACATATCTATACCTCCCACCATTTTTTCCTTTTTCTCATCTCCCTTTGTGATCATTAACCATATAAATGGTTGGTTGCTCACATAGTGTTTCCAAATTTATATCCTTGGCCTTCCCTGGATATTTCATCTAATAAAAAAATTCAACTAACAAACTCTGTGCTATAATCCAATAGATATTCATGTCCATGCCTGACCAATGGCTCCAAATGCCTTCTGGATGCAATATCGTATTATCTCCCACACACATCTTTACACTGGAGCTACTCAGAAATTCCCAATATCCTCTTAATGTACCTTCTATTCTCAAGTTTCCCAATTTGTGTATATCCTTTCCCATTGCCTAAAATGTCTGTCTTCTCTTCTACCTTTATTCTTTAAGTCTCAGCCCAAATGTCTCTCTGGCCTTTTCCAAACAATGTTCCCACAGCAGCCTATCTTTTTTTCTATTCCAGAATTTGTCATATTGTTTTGAAATGTTTAGGTATCTGCTCTGCTAAACTGTGAGTTCCTTCATGGAGGAAATTCTCTCTCTTCATGCTCACATTCCCAGCATGTGCAGCACAATGGCTATTACAAACTCAGTCCTAAATAAATGTTTGCTGAATGAACTACAGTATATTAAGTTTCTAATAATTAAGCGACAAAGCTGGAGCTGAAAAAACTGCCTAAATCTACTTTCCTAAAGGAGGTGATCAGTTTCTCTGGTCCTGTATTGGGTAGAATAAAAATACAGCAAGCTCTTTTTCAAAAAATGAAGGATTCACGGATTATGAAAACAAAAGAAACAAAAGGATAAAGTAAAAAGACCATTTCATCCCCAGAGGCCAAGTTTGGTGAAGATGCAGGCTGAGGTAAAGTTTGAGTATAACTATTCAGTTCACAGCAATTCCAAAGATCCTAGCCCAATCTCCAACTATCTCAGCATTGATTCTCAGTACAGGCCATTATAAAGCAAGGCCAAGATAGTTTAGTTCAGAGTTTTCAGGGCCATCCTACAATAGACCTACAACCACACATCATGACTAGAGGCCAAGTGATTTTGGAAACAAAGAATAAAATAACTTGCTATTTACTGCTGTAGAACCAATTCAGATACTCTTCCTAGAAGAAACAGCTTCAAGTTATCAGATATATGCAAATCAATATGTACCCTCAAATTAATATGTACCTCAAATATGTACCTTCAGAATCCTCATGTACTGAAACAATGTTCAGGTATATCAAATTCATTGCCAATACTCAATGTATCTCTTACTTTCACTTTAAGTGAATATCTATCCTTTTCCCATCTTTACTGGACCTCCTCTAATTTAAGATTGGGTATCATTCTATTTTCACAAGATGGTACAATATTTCTCTGTTGTTTCTCTACAAGCAAATACTTCAACATCAAACTACTAGAAAAGAAAAAACCTTCTAAACAGCCATTATAAGAAATACAATACCTCCTTCCTCTTGCAAGGATAATGTTTTACATAATCTAATCTCAGAAAGAAGGAGAGGTATTAAGGGGGTGGGGGGGATGAAGTACATGAAAAACCTGTATTTAGCCAGTAAGACAAGGAGAAATTTGTCCAAGTATTCAAAAACTAAAAGGGCAATGAGGCAGAAAAAGAATACCCTAAAGAAAGGAAAACAGGAAAAAGGAAGATTCTGTCTGGGGCAGGAGTTCCCAAGAACCCCAGCCTGGGGCCTCTCTAGGATGGCCCTAGATTCAGGCCTACACAAATTTGGATTTGTAGAGTACCTTAATTACACAGTGCCACTCACTGAAATTGCTCCATTTTGAACAGGTTGGAAAGGTTCTGTGGTATTTTCTGATTATCACATCTACTGAAACCCAATATTATTCTTCGCTTATCTGAGTCATGGATTTCATAATTCCAGAGTTTTCAGGGTATAATATTCAGTTGGCTGTCTTTGGTGTCCACCTAAACATAATCTTGAATAATGTGTTTAAGATTCATTAAAGGTTGGTCTTTTTCCCTTGAAAACTTATGTAGAGAAAGGAAGTTGATAAAGGATGGTGAAAGTAATACTTCTAACTCTGGCAGGCTTGCCTTTACTAACTCACAGCTTGCACTTTTCTCCCTGTAATGAAAGTGAAGTTTAGTGGACAAAGTCAGAAGGCCAAGAATTTGCCATCTTGATTCCACCACTTACTGTTAGCTAGCAATCAAGCAAATGACTTAACAGCCTGGAGCCTCAGATTCCAAAACTGTAAATGGGGATATTAAATGGGAATAATGAATACCTACCTTACAGTGTTATTAAGAGTAAAATGAATCAAGGGATGCGCTAGACTAGAATATAAGCTCCAGAGAAGAGGAACAGTGAATGTCTTTATCACCGTTGATTCTTGCTGGCATGGAAATGCACATAGCAGGAGCTCAATAATATTTTTTAAGTAAACGAATAAATATTTGTGTCCCCATTCCTCTCAACATTAACCTTTCTTCCATAATTTTATTTTTTCTGTCTTCTATTATTTTCTAAAGCCTTCAGTACATTCTATTTTGTCCTTTTAAGTAGGTTCCTCCCTCTCATTGGCTATTATTAACTATAGACCATTCAGAAAAAGTACTTTTGTAAGTAATTTCTCCAATACCACCCACTTGCCATATCTAACGAGATGGGGGTGGAAGGAACAATCAGAACTTAAGATTCATGGCAATTCGTCTACTTGCCCACAGCCACTGATTCCTGTTAACAACAGTGAAACCCTGAACTCAGCCCTCCCCCGAATATAACTTTCAGGGCACAATGCACTGTCCCTTATCTCTTCACTAACAAAAGACTCGTGTACAGGAAAGTTGAGGCGTCGGTTACGCTCACCTCCCGCTGAATAGAAGAGTGTGTCGCTTAAATGAGACGCTCAACCTGGACAGACAGGAGGAACTGCACACCCTTTAGTGTTGCCCGAGGGCCGGTCACCTTTGGATCTACCCAGGCTCGTCTGGGCACTGCTCCGAGGAAGGAGAGCTCTTCGGTCCCTTAAGGGAAGGTAAGGGGTGCGGCCGCTTACAGCGTGTGAGGGGACAGTGTAAAGTCCATGACAACGTGCGGACAGGACATGAATCGCACTACCAGACCCTTTAAAACATGACAACGACCACCCTTCCTAGCTCACAACCGCGCCAGAGCCCACCACGGCTTAACGCCGGACCCTAAAAAAGAAACGTGGCTCGCCCCAGCGCATAAATCAGCCAGCCAGTGCCTGCTCATTGGCGGCGCCCGCATCTCCCTCACCCTCATTGGCTATCCGGGATGCAAGGCCCTCCCCAACCAGGGAACCCTCTCGTACGGCGGCACCCCCAGCTTAGCAACCTCAACTCGGCTACCCGAAGCCCCGGCCCCTCACCTCCACCCAGGGAGCTCGGCCCCCAAAGCGCCAGAGCGTTGCCTTCCGAGGACTCACCGTGTAGTAGGAGAGCAGTCCTGCATTGTAGTCTAGCACGAACCAACGATACTGCCAGCCCTTCATAACGTTAGTCCATTTGCTCAGCGGCCCTTCCATGATGGACGCCATCTTGGGAGCCGCCAATGACAACAAACGGCCTGACGTCACTCGCCTATATGGCATTCAGCATGCGGGGGCGGGGCCTCCACTGACCGGGGCGGGGCCGGGGCGGGGCCGGGGCGGGGCCGGGGCGGGGCCGGGGCGGGGCCAACGCCAGGTCCTGGATGAACTCGCCGACACACTCCCCCAGCGATCGTGGTCTAACAAGCTTGCTTTGGGCACTTTTTTTGTATAGTACTCCAATGTCAGGGATACGAGAATGCTGCTATAAGGCTATTTATTAACATAAATAATTTTACTGGCCACGATGATACCTTACACTTCCGAGAGAGTTCACATCTGATAGTCACTTACGCAATCATTCCACAAACCCATTTATTTAATAAGTATTTGCTGTTTTGTGCTAGGCACTCCAGGCTTTGGGGATTCGACAGAGCCTTCATGGGAGGACGGGAACAGGCAATAAAATAAATGGTAAATAATATAGTATCTTAAAAGCTGATAAGAGGCACGGTGGCTCACGCCTGTAATCCTAGCACTCTGGGAGGCCGAGGTGGGAGGATTGCTCCAGGTCAGGGGTTCCACACCAGCCTGAGAAAGAGCGAGACCCCCATCTCTATTAAAAATAGAAAAAAATTAATTGGCCAACTAAAAAATATATAGAAAAATTAGCCGGGCATGGTGGCGCATGCCTGTAGTCCCAGCTACTGGGGAGGTTGAGACAGGTGGATTGCTTGAGCCCAGGAGTTTGAGGTTGCTGTGAGCTAGGCTAACGCCACTGCATGCTAGCCCGGGCAACAGAGTGAGACTCCGTCTCAAAAAAACCCAAAACATTTAGTTAGTACCCCCTCCCAATATAAGATATGTTGGGAGACGCTGAGATACATGTTTATCGTTTTCTCTCCTACTTCAAATGTAATCTCCATGAGAATAGAGATTTCGTATGTCTTATTTACAGCCCTATTCCCAGCAACCAAAGTACCTGAAATCCTCCTGCCTCAGCCTCCCAAGTAGCTGGGACTACAGGCACATGTCACCACACCCGGCTAATTTTTTCTATTTTTAGTAGAGACAGGGTCTTCGCTCTTGTTCAGGCTGGTCTTGAACTCCTGAGCTGAATCAATCCTCCTGCCTCAGCCTCCCAGAGTGCTAGGATTACAGGCATGAGCCACCACGCCTGGCCATGTACATTACAATTTCATAAAGTTTGCTGAGAATAAAGCAGATATTCAGCATCTTCAAGAAAGCCAAAGATTAAGAGACGCGATTCTGATCCGGGAGCTAACCAGGGAACAAAACATGAATGCAACTGAGTGTAAGACAAAGCCATTCTCTCTCCTTTCGGATTTTTTTCCTCATTAATTCCACCATTTTTTTAGTATCTATGCTGTGCCAGGAACTGTGCCAGGAGTATTATATACCTCATCACATTTAATCATCACAATAACCCTATGAGTGGGCTCACGCCTGTAATCCTAGCACTCTAGGAGGCCGAAGCAGGTGGATTGCTCGAGGTCAGGAGTTCGAAACCAGCCTGAGCAAGAGCGAGACCCCGTCTCTACTATACATGGAAATAAATTAATTGGCCAACTAAAAATATATAGAAAAAATTAGCTGAGCATGGTGGCGCATGCCTGTAGTCCCAGCTACTCAGGAGACTAAGGCAGGAGGATCGCTTGAGCCCAGGAGTTTGAGATTGCTGTGAGCTAGGCTGATACCACAGCACTCACTCTAGCCTGGGCAACAAAGCTAGAGACTCTGTCTCAAAAAAAATAATAATAAAAATAAATAACCCTATGAGTGTATTAGTCTCCACATTTTACGTAAGGAAACTGAGGTTTAGAGAAATTAACCAACTTGCTTAGATACCTAATAGTATTTATTGGCAAGTATCTGAGTCTATATAAACACAATTTGTGCCTTTTCATTATGCTACATGGCCTCCTAAAAGATACTACACACTTGTCATAGAAACTTGATGTTCCAGGCACATTAATTAATAGAAAGCCTCATGTTGCTGCTCTCTTTCGGGATAAACAAAGTATGGGGATCTTGAAACATCATGATTCCGACTAAAGGATTTACATAATGTTAATTACTACTCCCCCATTAGCTTCTTAAGAGCAGGAACCAGGCCTTATTCAACTATGTAGCCTTACAAACCAGCTCAATGGCTGGCACACAGAAGGTACATAATAATTATTGTTTGACCTTAATTACGTGTTCCATTGAGTCTAACCTAAAAGTTTAAAGGACTGTGCTAAGCACCATCACTGACATTTTCTCCTATATTTCCCATAATAATCCTTCAAGATTTGTATTATTACACCCATTTTACAGATGAGCACACTGGGACACAGTTATTCAGTGGCTTGTCCAAGGTCACACAACTGGTAAACAGCAGAACCCAAATTAGAATCTAGGTCTTTTCAATCTCAGATCCATTTCACCCAACTGCAAGCTATATTTGCAGTATCTATGTGTAAATAAAAGTCTTGGACATGACACAGGCAGTATCATCAGCTTCTAAATCAGTTTTAACTTTCATCAGGGTCACCAGGCATCAGCATGATCTACTTTGCTTCAAATGTCAAAACACAGGTCATCAGAGAGAGCCAGGAGTAAGTGCAGTTCTCCACACCTAAGACCATGTCCAATTCCACAGCACTTTGACTACTTTCTACACAAAGTGTCAAACTACATGCTTTAGATCATGAGCTAAAATTAAACGTGGCAGAGACAAATCAGCTCTGGTTCCCACATTCTTCAGTGAGGGGCATGGTGTGGAATGAGGTGGCAGCTGAAGCATAGCAAAAAAAGAGGATTAGACTCAGTGCCCAAAGGTAGACACAATGTTAAGCATTAAACATAACAAACTCATCAAGGACAGGAATTGGTACTGCTTCATCCTGCCATTTAGAATATCAATAAATGTTAAATTAGAGACATGATTTTAAAAAGATCATTGTGTCAGCAAAATGGAGGAGGGACAAGACAAGAAGACAAAGAAACTTTTACAAAACAAGCAAGTAATAGAGACTCTAAGCTTGGACAATGATAGCAGGGAGGGAGAATGGGAAAGATATTGTACTGTGTATTTACTGAAAAACATTTTGAAGATAAGATTTAAAAACTCACTAAGCAATGGAATTAAATGAGGAGGGAGTAAGGGGAGTCGCACATAATGTCAAGGTTTCTAACTTGTGTAACTGAATAATCATTTAAGTAGCCAAGCGTTGTTTTGTTTTGCTTTAAAAGAACAAAAAATGGTTTGTATTTCTGAATATGAAGATTCTTTGCTTTATACAGCTGTTTAGAAATGTGAATTTTTCTAGCAAAAATGGGTTTCAACTTTTCCACAGGTGGAATGTAGGTGCAAATTACTTAATTGCATTCTGTTGTTGCTAGTTTGCTGCCTTTTCTTCCTAAACTTCCCACTAACTGCTTTTTGTTATTGCTATTATTGTTGTAATGTTTCTTAATTGGTATCTGTTGGGCATCAAATAAAATGTTTCCAGAATGCTGCTTTCTTAAGGTAAAACATAAACTTACAAAAACTTGACTGTCCTTCCCTGAGGAAACAGAAGATCATGCTTAAGTTTGGGGAAAGCAAAAATAGGACATGACCTATTTTGTCCACAAACAGCAAGTCCCGGCTCCTTCCCACCCTTTCCTCTATCTAGAGAGCAAAAAAGTGAAACAAGTTTAGAAATATATGGCTCTGATTTTGAGGCCAAAGGGAACTGAGGAAGGGAGAGAAAGTATTTTAGGAGATCTAGGCTTTGTCAACGTTCTGAGGAGAGAAAAGAATGAACTCATTTTTTGTTTTTTTGAGATAGAGTCTCACTCTGTCACCCAGGCTAGAGTGCAATGGCATTAGCCTAGCTCACAGCAACCTCCAACTCCTGGGCTTAAGCGATCCTCCTGCCTCAGCCTCCTGAGGAGCTGGGGCTACAGATAGATGCCAACATGCCTGGCTAATTTTTTCTGTTTTTGGTAGAAATGGGGTCTCACTCTTGCTCAGGCTGCTCTCTAACTCCTGACCTCAAGCCATCATCCCACCTCAGCCTCCCAGAGTGCTAGGATTACAGGCCTGAGCCACCGAGCCCACCCTGAACTCACCTTTTGCCTTCTTCCAATGCCCCCTGGGCAGCCCACATCCTAGTTCCCCTGGGCTTTAAACATTTCACAAATATTCTCCTCACTCAGGTGGAATTAGCACTCCATTTGTTTGTTCCCCACCTGTATCCTGAACAAACTTCTAACAGAATCTGGGACATCTTATTGCATCAACTCATTCAGAGTCTGAATTCCCCTCCTTTGACTTGGGTTGAGGACTCAGTCATATCTGCATTCTCAGGTTCAGCAGTGTCTCACATAGACAGTACAGAACAGTGGAAGCAGCAGGCAATCTGCCTGGCGACAGCACACAATCCAAATAAAAGGGTAAAGCGAGGCTAGGGAAGCTGATTTGCTGGAAACACAGTTTTTATTTATACTTTGTATTTATTTGGGTTGGTTTAGAGGAGCTAATAGAGATTGGGGGCTAAATTTCCCAACCTATGCTCCTCAATAAACGATAGTTGGCCAGGCATGGTGGCTCCTGCCTGTAATCCTAGCACTCTGGGAGGCCGAGGTGGGAGGATTGCTTGAGCTCAGGAGTTCCAGACCAGCCTGAGCAAGAGTGAGACCCCATCTCTACCAAAAACAAAAAAAATTAGCCAGGCGTGTTGGCATCTGTCTGTAGTCCCAGCTTCTCAGGAGGCTGAGGCAGGAGGATCGCTTGAGCCCAGGAGTTGGAGGTTGCTGTGAGCTAGGCTGATGCCACGGCACTCTAGCCTGGGTGACAGAGCGAGACTCTGTCTGAAAATAAATAAATAAATAACAAAAAAGATAGATAACCAAGGGAAAAAGTAGCTTCTCTAAACTATAATTTCCTTGAAGTCAGTGACTTATTCACCCCTCTACCCGCAGTGTAAGAACACTGCCTGACGTCATGTTGAATGTTTGTGAAACTGATCTGAGTTGAGCTTCTTGCCTTTCTCATGTTATTCCCTCTTTCTGCAAAGTCCTTTCCCTCTTTCTCTGCTTAGAGAACTTCTTACTAATTGTTCAAGTCCCAATTCAAATGTCAGTGCCTCTTTGAGGGCTTCTGTGGACACCCACACCTGTTCCCACACCCATACTGAATTAATCTTACCTTTACTATGTTCCAAAGCAAATTCCACAATCCTCTAACACAGATAGCAATTATCCCACAACATCCTAAGTGAGTTCATCTACAATGTATTATAACAAGAGAATGAGACATTGTCAGATACATATGTTATAAAAGGGCAACTCTATCCACTGTAACCAGGATGATGCCATACTGAAGTCAGGAAGATTACAGGTATGAGAGATGAAGAGGCCTGGGTGAAAACAAAAACAGGGGAATGGAGAGGAAGAGGATGGAGAGGAGAAATATTAAGCAGTTAGGAAAAGGGAAGAATCAAATGGACTCCAAATTTCCAGGTTGGAATACAGGAAAAGGAACGGATTTAAGGGAAGAGTATCAATGGAAAAGAAGACAAACTCTGTAAAATAATTTAAGGAGGTTTATTCTGAGCCAAATTTGAGGACCATGGCCCAGACCCATGCCCAAGAAGCCTGAGCAAGTGGACTCACTGTGGCTGGGCTACAGTTTGGTTTTATATATTTTAGGGAGACAGGGATTACAGGTAAAGTCATAAGTCAATACATGGAAGGCATACATTGGTTTAGCTTGAAAAGATGGGACATCTCAAAGTGGGGGCTTACAGGTCATAGGTGGGTTTAGGGACTAAGGCAGGACATCTCAAAGCAGGGGCTTAGAAATCATAGGAAGATTTAAGGTTGACAATCAGCTGAGTTACACTTTGTACAAAGACCAGAAATCAGAGGAAAGGAATGCTTGAGTTAAAATAAGAGTCTTTTATCCTTCACGTGATGCTATACCAGAATCAGGTTGGGAAGTAAACCACATCATAAAAACCTGTTTACTGAGATTTTATCATTTGTAGGTGTGACTCACCAGGCCCTCTTAGAAAGGAATTTTTGGGAGCAAAGAAAAAGATCAGAGTTCAGTCCTCAACTGATAAATGTAATGTTAAATTTGAAGCATGTGGACCATCCAGATTAAGGACAGGTGTTCAGTTTCTTTCTTTCTTTCTTTCTCTTTCTTTCTTTCTTTCTTTCTTTCTTTCTTTCTTTCTTTCTTTCTTTCTTTCTTTCTTTCTTTCTTTCTTTCGTGGAGACAGAGTCTCGTTCTGTCACCCTGGGTAGAGTACAGTGGCATCATCATAGCTCACTACAACCTCCAACTCCTGGGCTCAGATGATCCTCCTGCCTCAGCCTCCAGAGTAGCTGGGACTACAGGCAAGTGCCATCACATCCAGCTGATTTTTTCTATTTCTTTGTAGAGATGGGGTCTCACTCTTGCTCAGGCTGCCCTCAGATCCTTCTGACTCAGCTTCCCAGAGTCGTGTGAGCCACCGCAACGGGCCTGGCACATCCAGATTGAAACTGATGTTTAGCAGGTAAGTGGATACGCTAATTTGAAGCTCAGGAAACAAACCAAAGCTAGAATTATAAATTTGAGAGTATTATTACACAGATGGTAGCTGAAGGCACAGGAAGCATTGAGATCTTCCAGGGAATGTGGATAGTATATAGTTCAGGATGGAACCCTAGAGGACAACATTTAAAGAAGGGGGAAAAGAAGAGATGCCAGGAAAAAAGATTAAAAATGAACAATTAGAATGGAGAAGAAATGAGAGGAGTTTGGGGAAGCCGAGGCCGAGGGAAAACACTTGAAGGTCAAATGCAAGAAATTAAGAGGCCTCCTCCTCAGAGAACTCTATTTCTGTGTGAATTAGGTCATCAACAGATAGGCAGCAGGAAAGGGCAGAGGAGGAAGGGTCTATAGATTTGCCTATGGGAGGCATAGATTCAGATAGTGAACTTTAAGAAGATGATGAAGAGTGAAAGGCAAGAGGGAGGGCTCCTGTGAAATGCAAAAGGATTTATGAGTAGCAATAAGAGCCACGCTGAGTTTAAAGATAAAACTATTGGTAGTACTGGCTTATCTCGTTATGGGATATTTTTCCTCTCAGCAATTCTCAGCAACCTGACTGTAGGAACAGAAGAGGCACACAGTCGAAATTACCCAAGGTTAGGGGGATTTCTAGGGTAAGTGTGGCGAGAAGACTGGGAAATTGAGAGTATTGATTGAGCTGATAGAGAGCTCATAGATCTAGGCTGATTATGGCAGAAAGAATAGATTAGGAGAAAGGAGTCAAGATACTGGATTGGATCTCCTGTGAGATTAAAGAGATTTAATGAGAGTAAAGGAGCTGGAAGAATGGCAGGTTGTAATTAGGGAGAGGAAAAAGTTTCAGATTTCAGAGGTGAAACAATTACAGGTGATAGAAGGTGAGCTTAGCCTTAGGAGTAGAAAGCTGAAGGAGGGGATATAAATTACAAGAGGTCAGGAAGTCAAAGGATTGTGAGGTCACCATGCTCAATACTTCATTTACATAGAAGTTGAAATTACCTGGATGATGGCAGGGGTTGGGGTTGAGAGGGGAGCTGTGGGACAGGAGGAGCCACAACCCCAATAAAGGAAGTTGCCAAATGACAACAGTGACAAAAGGAGAATCCCTTGTGGTTTTCAAATTTTCTTGGAGGCATAAGCCGAAGACTAAAGAAACTAGGTTGAGTTTTGTAAGTTATTTGAGTTTTATGAATTATTTGTGAACATCCATTATCTAAGGTTTCACTTCTCAACACCAGCAATGATATTCCCCAGTTGATGGTCTCCCCTCACATGACCAGCATATCCCCAGGTGCAGCAGGGAAATGGCATCAAGAACCTCTAGGGGCCAGGCCCAGTGGCTCACATCTATAATTCCAGCACTCTGGGAGACCAAGGTGGGAGGATCACTTGAGGTCAGGAGTTCAAGACCAGCCTGATCAAGAGCGAGACCTGTCTCTATTAAAAATAGAAAAAGTAGCTGGGCATGGTGGTGTGCACCTGTAGTGTCAGCTACTCAGGGGGCTGAGGCTGAGGAAGGGGAATTGCTTGAGCCCAGGAGTTTGAGGTTGCAGTAAGCTACAATGACATCACTGCACTCTAGCCTGGGAAACAAAGCAAGACCCTGTCTCAAAAAGAACTTCTAGGAATTTATCATTAAGGAAGTAATCTGAGATTTATATGCAAGGATGTTGCCATAATAGTGAAACCCTGGAAATAACCTAAAAGTCCAACAATAGAGAAAAGTTAAATAAATTATAATAGATACATATGATGGGCTGATGTATGGCCATTAAAAATTACATTTAATATGAATTATAATTTAAAAAGTACACAAATTTGAATAGATATCATTAGGTATAAAATGGTTAAAAATTATATATATAGTATGATTCCAATTTATTAAAAATATAAATATCTACCCAGAAGACTATAAGAATATACTACAGAAAAACATCTGTAGTCAATTTGTGAGATTAATTTTACTTTTTTCCTTTATAATTCTTTCATGCTTTCCAAATTTTCTACAAGTAACAGACATTGTATTTGTAAAATAAAAAAATGCCATTTTGTAAAGTAATAAAAAAAGAGTATGATAAAAAATACTATCAAGTAATTATGCCAGCTTTGAATTTGCCAGGCATTTGCCATTTATAATCATATGCCTGCCTCCTTAAGGAGCTGAAATAAACAAGCATTATAGTTGAGACAGTTGATATCCTGTCAGATGGCATTAGCCTTCAGTCCCACTCAGGAGTCCTGCAGAATTCTCGTGTCTTCTTTCTCATTCTGTATCCATCTAGGTACTCACAACTTAAAGACAAATCACCACAGCCATTAATATGCAGTGTACTCACTCACTCTTTTTTTCAAGAAAGTAGCCTTCACTGAGCAGCAATCTATGTCAAGCCCTGAACTAGGTCCTGAGGATACAGAGATCAGTCACATGTGGCTCCTGTCCTCAAGGATGTCAGAGTCTGTTGGGAAACACAATGTGTTGCCACGCAAGTCTTGTTTTCTTATTTATATGGCTAGCTACCAAAAGCAGGGACTTTATTTTATGCTTATTTATAATTAAGTGAAATCATATATTTGAACATGGTTTGAGGCTGAGTGAGGTGGCTCACACCTGTAATCCTAGCACTCTGGAGGCCTAGGCAGGAGGATTGCTTGAGGTCAGGTGTTCAAGACCAGCCTGAGCAAGAGCAAAACCCCATCTCTACAAAAAATAGAAAAAATTAGCTGAATGTGGTGGCGCATGCCTGCAGTCCCAGCTACTCAGGAGGCTGAGGCAGGAGGATTGTTTAAGACTAGAAGTTCAAGATTACAGTGAGCTATGATGGTGCCACTTCACTATAGCCTGGGCAACAGAGTGAGACCCTGTCTCCAATAAATAAATAAATATATAAAGGATATCGTGTTTGAGCTGAGCTTACTGACATGAAACCTTTGCCTTCTTACTCAGGGAGGAGAAACTAACACTTGTAGAGTAGCTACTAGGAATAGCATTCTCTCTAGGGTTCCCATAATGAAGAGAAGAATATTCCAGGCAAAGAAAATAGCATAGGCAAAGACACAAAGGCTTGAGACTAAGTATTGTGCATCTGGGAAGCAGCATGTTCTTCTGGATGTGGTGAGACAAGGGGAACACGTAAACTCATGGTAGGAGTTAAAGCTGAAACGGAGACCTGGGCAGGATTGGATAATTGTTTGAAAAGTTCTTTTCCTCCCAATAGCTAGTGTTTGGAGTTTAAATGTCCAGCTAGCCCTGTAGAACCAGACACACTATCTTTAGACAGAAAGAAGTTCTCACTGATCCACAGGGTTCCCTTAAGTGGAAGCATATCAATTACAAAGATCTAACCTCCTATCTAATTCCCAGGACTACAGCAGTGATTTCCAAAACATGGGCCTTAGTGCATAATTTATGCACTCACTTTGTAGCTTTGTAATTAAATCTGCAGAGGATTTGGAGATACATGGCAATACTGGTACAGCTCTCTGCATATATAAATACACCATACTGGAGTGCAAAATTAATGCTTTTGAATACTCCACTTTCATATCTATATAGCCAATGGTAGATTGTGCATGGCTGCAATTAACTAGGATATATTCATTTAACAAATCCTTTCTGATCTGAATTCCTATCATAGTCGAGGTCTATATCATACACTCCAACTTTCTGATATCCATTAATTGTTCCCTAGAAGGTCTAGTGAAATAAATCTGATATTTATCAAGTGTTTACTGTATCCTGACACTGTGTGTAATTTCACATTCATCTTATTGAGTGCTTACACTGTGCCAGGTGCTCTAGGTACATAGTGGAGAACAAATCAGACGTGGTTTCTGGCCTTATGCAGCTCCTATGTACCTCAAGAAATCTTCATAACAACTTTTCAAATCTGATATTTTAAAGGGAGGGAAATGAGAACTAGATGAGGTCAGTAACTGGTCCCAAAGCCAACTTATCCATTAGGCACAGTAGGCACAGCACTTAGGGCCCACAATACTTACAGGAGCCTAAGAAAGTGTTTTAACTTTAATTTCTTTTAAAGCCAGAATAAAAAATGAACATAATAACAATGAATATATAACAGCGAATCCAGGCTGCATTGTATTTGTTGTCCATGTCAATGCAGTCACAAATATATCTTTTAATACTTTTTTTTTAATGGAGGAAGGGGCCCATGAGGGCAAAAATGCCTAGGACCCATGTCATAATATGGTCCTGATTAGTCCAAGACCACATAGTTGGTAGAGGACAGAACAAGGTCAGGCACGCCTTGTAAGCCTGACATCCCTTTCAATTAAACACATCTAGAAGATGAAAACTGCTTTTACTTCTCTCCTAGTGCCTGGTTCATAGGGTTAGCTCAATTAATACAGAATTAAACTGCATTGAATCAATGCAAAGTACCTTATATAGTGATGCTATGCTATGGTATGTATGTAGGTCCCTCCAAAATTTATATGCTGGAACTTAAATCCCAAGGTAATAGTATTAAGAAGAAGTGGGACCTTCTTCTTAATAAGAGCTCCATGCTCATGGATGGGATTAATGCCCTTATAAAACAGGCTTCAGAAGAGCTGCCTGGCCCTTCCACACCTTCTGCCATGTGAGGAGATAACACCCATCCCTTTTTGCCTCCTTCTGCCAGTAAGAACACAGCAAGAAGGCACCATCTTGGAAGCAGAGAGCAGCTCTCACCAGACACCAGATCTGTTGGTGCCTTGATCTTGGATTTCCCAGATTCTAGAACTGTGAGAAATAAATTTCTCTTCTTTATAAATTACCCAGTCTTAGGTATTTTATTATAGCAGTGCAAATGGACTAAGACAAATGAACAATAGTATATTCTTTCGGATTGAAGAAAACCCTGTGGATGCTGCAAATATCACATGGATTATTCCCAGCAGGAAAACAGACCTGAAAATAAAGTCTATGCATTTAATCAGTTTGTAGAATTTTTGGATTAAAAGATTAGACATTTTTGCTTA